GGAGCAGTGTCAGGAAAGGTGGATTGTGTGGTCAGGGAAGGCATCTTCAAGGAAGGGACATTTGATCTGAGACATTAACGACAAGCCAAGTGCAAAGGCCTCCTGAGGGAACGGGTGCAGAAAGGAGGCTCCTGTGACTAAGGCACAGGGGTTGAGGGGGTGTGGGGAGGGACAGAAGAATGGAAGCCATGCAGCTCCTGAGCCCTGCGCTTCTCTGTCACGCAGATACCAGATTTCAACATCCAATTGTCCCTTGAGCATTGGCTGTGTTCAGCGAGGGATGGGGGCGGGTAATGTCAGGATCTGGCCGGGGTCAGGCCTCACTGGGCTGCATATCTCTTTCCACAGTGGCGGGCCTGGGGCAGAGCTGACCCTGAGAGCAGGTGCGGGCAAGGCGGGCTGCTCTGATCTTCTCGCCCATAACAGTATCAGGTGGCCTCTCGCCCGCCTTGTGTAGGCGAACAGGAGCGGCAATAAAGGAGTATCAAAAAATCTAGTCTTTCTCTTTCCTCCTATGCCCATTTCCTGTGAGTCTTTCAGTAGAAGGGCTGTTTCTTTCTCCACAATAAAATGACCTTTGAAAGCCCTTCTGACTGACGGAGATGCATGGTCACTGTATAAACCGTTCGGGAGAGGTGAGAGGATATTCTGTGGTAGGCTCTCTTGGATGCCTGTGGGACCGGGTGAGCAGGTGCAGCAGCCCCCCCATTGGCTCTGCCTTGGCCGGTTACCCTGACCTGAGATGCGCAGCCTCCTTGATCCAGGCAATCAAATCAGACAGTCTTCGAGACATCATTCTTCTGGGTTGTAACCTATCCTGGAGTTTAAAGGATGGAGTTCACAGCCTAGAAAACTGAAAATCATGTGGCTTCTTGCAGACTCTTAACTTCGACATGTACGTCCAGCTCCCTATCAGATCTCTCCCCTTCGATGTGTATGTTCCCGCTATCCCTGAGTTACCCAGAGGCACAAAGGAGAGGGAGCAGGCTTACCCCAATCTTCCTTAATCCGAATTCGTGGGCCAGCTGCGTAAGCACAATGGCCAACCTCCTGAGCAGAGACCTCTTTATGGGGAAGGTAAAGGAGACAAAGAAGGAGGGCCCCAGGCAAGAGATAGTTTCACAACTGGGCCATCTCTCCTCGAGGCGATGGAAACTCCTTTTGTACCCAGGCTTGAGCCTCACGAGACCTTCAACCTCTGCAGCGTTTTCAAGGAAGAAGCCCAAGGGTAGAGTCAAGTGTCTGTGCCATTCAGCGAGGTAGGATTCTTCCAAAGTTGCTCCATCAGAAAAAGGGATCATTCTAATTCACCCCTAGCTAATGTGTTACATGTGGGGGCAGTCAGTTCACTGTCCTCCCCCCTGAAGGGGTCATGTGCTCTTGTGCTTGTTCATTTAGTTATGCTGTGCTCTCTGCCCAGAAGTCACTCAGGCCCTTTACTCTCTGCTCTTACAAGCGTTGCAAGATTCACTTTAGGAATAGTGATTATAGGAAGCCTTTCCAGAAGTCTCAACACTGACCTGGGAGCATGCCACACTCCCACCCCACCCCCTGCAGTCCTAATCACCCCAGGGATGCCTCTACAGGAGCCACCATATGCCTTGAAATTCCACAAACATATATATATATATATTTAAAGATTTTATTTATTTATTTGACAGAGAGAGACACACAGTGAGAGAAGGAACACAAGTAGGGGGAGTGGGAGAGGGAGAAGCAGGCTTCCCACGGAGCAGGGAGCCTGAAGTGGGGCTCGATCCCAGGACCCTGGGATCATGACCTGAGCCGAAGGCAGACGCTTAACGACTGAGCCACCCAGGCGCCCCCACAAAAATATATTTATGGTCGGCACTGTCTTAGGCACTGAAGCAAAAGTAGACTGAAATCCCTGCTCTAAGAGCACTTATTTTGGGTGGGGGAAAACAGGCCATAAATGAATGAATAAATTCTTGCAATAGGATGCTATGCAGCTATAAAAAGGAATCAGGAAGAGATGTATATCTTGTTCTATAATCTCCAGGATGTAGTAAAATTCTGGATTTGTTTGATCACTTCCGTGTAATGTCACTTAACTTGTTTCTCTAGCTCCTGTGTTTTCAACAAGCTAGTTAGATCTAGAGGTTGGATTGAATTCATGGGTTTGTTTGGCAAAAATAACTTGTCAGCAGTGTATTTCCTATTGTATTACATCATAAGGCACGTAATATCTGGTATGTTTCATTTGTACTTATAGTTTTAAATTGAAACTGAAGAAGGTTAACCAAAGGCTAATAAAAATTATTACCTATAGAGGAGTAAGGGAACAGGGATATAAGTAAGACTTCTCTGAGTGTGTCTTGTTGACACTGTATAAATATTAACATAAGTTAGAAAGAGTAATCCAGGCTGAGGGACTAGCATGTGCAAATGACCTGAGACAGGCACATGCCTGGTTCATTTGAGAGAGATCAAAGTCAGTGAGTAATTTCTGATTTACTTGTTTGCCTTCCCTGCTAGACTGCAAGCTGTTGAAGAAAAGGACCAACAGCTTCCATCTTCGTAGGCTCAGCTTTTGCATAGTGTCTGTCATACAGTCTGTGTTTGATGCAAATTTATTGAATAAATGAGCATCAATAAAGCACTCTTGGGCTCTCATTGCCATAAAGTCACAAATCTATAATTTTCGTCAGTCTTCTCTGATGAATCAGAGGAAGGTTAGAAAGTTAAAACGGGATGAGGCAAAATATATATATCGAATATTGGAACGCTATTAAAGATCTTCAGCGTACATGGAAACCCACAAACCACATAATTCCTCCAAGTGTAACACTTCAGAGCAATCTTTCTTTTTATTAGGCGTGCCCCTGTTTTATTATTACAAGTGTTGAAAGGCAACAATTTAGCAAAAACAAAACATAAATACTTACCTCTAAATAAGATAAAAGTAAACTAAATTTTTAAATAAGTAAAGTTAGAATGATACATACATAATAAATCAATACTTTAAAGTAAGCAAGTAATTAAAAACCATAAATAATTTAAATACATAAACTCATTTATTTACTAGATGAGAGTTAAACAAAGATCTCAGTCCTCTGCTCTCTCTATCCATGTGTGGATCCATGTACGTCATCCCTACGTGTCTGCCTATTTTAGAGAGGCGTCAGGTGGACACACAAGTCACTGCTCTTCCTTCAGCTTATGTCTTCCTGTGTTGAGGCACCCAACTGAATGCATAAAATATATGCAGAATAAAGTAAGGGGACATTTTATTGGCCTCTGAGGGGTTGGAGATGCATATTTAGAAGGCCTTGGTACAGTACGTAAGGAGGTCATGAGCAAGTCTTATCTCAATCACTTGGGAAGGATGGTTCTTTACAGTAAGCCTATTTCCTGGAACACAAGAGGGTGGGCAGATTCCTATCCCCGACCACTAAAACAACTGTTTTCAGGACCACAGGGCTCGGGTAAACCTCAGAATTGTCAAAGCCAAGATCTGGGCACTAGATACGGTCATTAACATTGGAGCATTGCTGTTCCCAGGTCCTCTTAATGGACAGAGGTAGGGAGACAGATTATATAGATACAAAGATAGAGATACAGATACACAGAAATGTCTATTTCTCTATCAACCTGTGTATATTGAAGACATGAGTTCTTACAGATACCTCCAATTCCAATTCAACACCACAGGGTTCATTCCAGTTTGCTTCATTTCCATGTTTGAAACTCCATTCTCCAACAGGGATATCAACCTAGTATATTAACTTCTTTGTGCAATCATCCAGGATGTAACCAGCATCTGCTGCCCTCCCGGCTCCCTTCCCGGCATGGATGCCCTCCTCACTGAAGCCCTGACATCCTGTGCTAGGTTCTCCCACTCAGGCTCCCTCCCACACGGATGCACTTCCTGCCCTGCTGTCCCTCTGCCACAGGAGCACCGTTCTCAACCCATCTGTGCTCAGAGCACTCTCCCCGCGGCCCCTGCACACAGGCACACCTTGCTCAGCCCACCCCACAGATGACTTGGGGCTGAATTGTACAGCAAGGGAATGAAAAGGGGAGGAATTGGAAGAGAAAGACGACCTAACAAGTCCGATACCAATTTGATGTCCTTTCTCTTACAACCGGGTCCATCTTCATTCATTCTATTTGTTACATAACACACACACAAAACACACACAAATTCCATTATTATTTATTTTAGTTTAGTTTATAAATGCAACTTTTACTTAATGGAACAGATGAACAACTAACAGGTGAAAACGATTTAAAAACACTGCATAAACATATTTACTTGCCATATTGGATAACATTTATTTTTGTTCTCAGGAACCGATCTTTCAGAGACAAATCTCCATGTAGGATTATTGATGCCACATTTATTTATAATTACGAAAAAATAAATTGAAACAACAAAAAATTAAAAAAAGAACTGAATGGATCTTTCTGCCTGTATGCTCCAGGTATTTTTCTCCCTTTAATATCCAGTAATTTTACTAGAATAGGTCTCCATGTTGGCCGCCCTGGGCTGATTTTCCCAAGTTCACGGCGCGTACTTTTAGTATGTAGGTTTAGGGCTGCCTTTTATTTAAAGATCTTGAATTGTAGCAAAGCAATTGGTCTTTCCCTCCCCGCTTCAGGACATCCCTCCACCACAGGGAAATTCTTTGCCCAAAAGAGCACTTTGGTGGAAAATTTCGAGATGTACGGACTGAACTTCGACGAGCTTCTAACTCGTAGATTTTGAGGGGAAACAGGGGAGAATGCCGTTGGTATCGTGCAAGGCACGTAATAAACGTATAATGACTACTCCTGCAGCGTCACCACCGAGCTTTAAGTGACGCTTACATTCGCGCATGCTCCGTAGGCGGAGCAGCGCCCCTCCTACCTCTCCAGGCGGAAGTCCCCTTTTGTTTATTAAATTACGACAGTCGTAAACTGAGGGTTTTTTGTGTGTGTGTGTGTGTGTGTGTGTGTGTGTGTGTGTGTGTGTGTGCCGGCTTCCTAGTTTTACGACAACAACAATGGCGGCTACCAGTGGTAGATTTGAAAGTGCGAGGAGTATCGAAGAACGAAAAGAACAGACCAGGATTGCCAGGGCTGAGGTGTTGCGCCAGGTATCTCCGTTTTGGGGCGTTGGAATCATTTAGAATCGTGGGAGTGGACGGTTCCTGGGAGCCAGGCCTGCTGGCTCTCCTTCACCCCCTCTCTTTTCTCGCCTCCTCAGTGTCTCACTTTATCTGCTTGAGGGTCTCCCTTTGGGATGCCCGAAAACTCTTGGTTATTTCCCGCCTCCCTAGATGCGTTGGCAGTCTCCAACTGCTCATTCTCTTTTTAGGAAGGCCTGTTTCTTTCTTGAGTTTCCTTCTTAATTTATCCATTCTTGATATTCCCGTTACTGGATCTGTGCACTTTTGAGGAGCTCCACCACTAATGACGACTCTGCCAGCGCATTTGACAGCCTCAGTCCTCGCTCTTTCTGTATCCGAAATAAACATTTCCGTTCTCAGAAACACACGTGAGGCACACTGGAATAGATTGTTTGACCGTTTCCCTCTCTTGTCTTATTATTGGTATCGATTCCAGGGTTATTGTAAATCCTTACTGACCCATACAAGGGTCGACAGAAGAGACTCAGAAAATGTAGTCCCTCGAAAAAGGTTAAGAAACGTTGTATTTCTCACCAAGATTGAGATGTATAGAGGTAACCTATAAGGAATGGGGGAAGTAAACTGTATTATCTGACAACATGTAGGAAGTGTGGCATTGAAGGGGAAAATTTGTAGCTGGAGAGCAACATAGGGTACAAGTGAGGGTTTTTGTTTTTATTGGTTTTAAGACTAAAGAGTTTTAAATAAATGCAGATGAGAAGGGGCTGGTAGAGGAGGCGGGGAGGCATGATGACTATGCCCAGAGTTTAAGGCGAAGAGTGGGCGATTAGTATTGGATAGGTGAAAGGTTGGTTTTGTTCTCTGATTTCAGTATATCTAACCCATATGCATAATAAATATTCTTCGTCCTTGCCTTTTTGGTATTTTAGGCAGTTTTTGGAGCGAGTTGGGTTTGAAAGCTAAGGTAAATTTTATAGTGGAGGTATGCATAGAGTTTGGGAAGGACCAAAACCAGCTTTGGAGTTTGGAGAGAAAATGAAAAGGCAGAAGCAGCCTCCTAGGAAGAACTTATTTGACTGTTGTTGAAAGGTGACTATAAATTAGCAATATGATCGTTTGGTTTTAGAAAGATGATTCTCCCTAAAGCATTTTGGGGGCTTGGGTAGAAGGATATGGGCATTGCAGATGGAAGGCATGGTCAGTCTCCTGACAGTTACGGAAGTCTCAGGCAGTAGCAGTGGGATGGTGAAGGAAAAAGGAGATTCATGTCCTATTTAAGGTAGGGAGCTTAGGGAGAGGGGAAGATCTACTATAGGTCCCAGGATTCGTCCTTGATTCACCAGAGATTGGTGATGTGATTGGTAATGTGGAAGGAGAGTTCTGTTCTGTTTTTAGTCTTTCCTACACTTTGGTAGAAGCAAATTCCTGGCAAGGGACGGACAATGACTGATGAGACCTTATATGAAAGTGGAAAATGGTTTTGTTTTATTTATTTTTGTGAAAAGCAGTTGGATAAGTCGTTAATTTTTCTTTTTCATTGTTTCAGGCTAAAGCCAATTTTGAAAAGGAAGAAAGGCGTAAAGAACGTAAACGACTTCGGGGTGAGGCTACATGGATGCTACCTGATGTGAATGAACGAATTGAACAGTTCTCACAGGTGACTACTAACAGGTTCACTTGATGTAACAGATCTGTCTTTCTTTTATTAATATTGGAAGAGCAACTTTATGTTACTATTTTGAAAAGTTACAGAATGACTATCACATAGGTGGCATTGCTGACCAATTTTATCTCTCTGGCAGAAATAATATATTTTAATATTTTGGACATTATAACATTGGGCGGATTTTGTTGCTTGAGTTGACTGGTAGAAAGCTTAGCAAATTTCTGGCCCACTTGTATCAAGCTTATGGACCTAAAAAATTATGCATTTTAAAGTTAAATGTCATGTTTTTTTTTGTCTGAATTCTTGTTTTCCATTTCCATAATTTTAATTTATTTAATTTATACTGTCTTGTTATATTTTATATGACCCATATATTTTATATGACCCAATAATCTTTTATAAATTCTTTAGGGGCCACAGAGGATATATGTATATGTATGTGTGTATATGCATACATTTGAGTATAAATGCATTTATTTGATTATATCTGTCTGTCAGATGAATCTGTAAATAAATTAAGACTACAACTTCCCTCATATTTTTCTGAAAAGATATCTCAGCTATATGATTTATTAGCGGTGCATATATTACAGATATATGCATATATACAGATATATACATATATTAAAGTTTCGTAGAAGATTTTATTTTGTCCTATGTATTGTCTCATTTCATGAGAATGTAGTTTTTGGATTACAGATTTTTTTTTTCTTCAAGATATTTGTTTTAAAGTAAGATGAAACCAAATTCCTTTCTTACCTCTTTAAAACAATTTATAGGAACACTCTCTGAAGAAAAAGAAGAAAAAAGACAAACACTCGAAAAAAGTAAAGAAAGAGAAGAAAAAAAAGAGTAGGAAACAGAAGTATGAAAAAAACAACGAGTCAACAGATAGTTCATCAGTAAGTATGTGTTAAAGCTAACCAAAGCAGCTACTTGAGAAAATTGTATTTAAAGGAGTAATGTATAGGAATGTAAAATATATGAGAACTTAAAAAATATTACTAGTTAAGGTATGAAAATGCCTGGGAAACATCTAGTGGGAGGTGTCCAGGAAATACTGGAAATATGGATCTTAAGTTACACGGAAAGGTAGGAGGATGGGGTCAGGAGCCATTGCTCGGGGCAGCTGTTCGAATGGACGGATTGCCCAGGGAGGTTGAAAAGAAAGAGGAACACCAGGAACCAGACGGGAGTAAAGGCCATCAAGTAGAAGTAGTTGGAAAATTGGAAGGAGATGCAAGGAAAGGACAGTACTGAAAAATAAAAGAGTTTTAAGACCTTTAAGAGTCTAGGGGCGCCTGGGTGGCTCAGTCGGTGAAGCAACTGCCTTCGGCTCAGGTCATGATCCCAGGGTCCTGGGATCGGGCCCCGCATCAGGCTCCCTGCTCAGCGGGGGGCCTGCTTCTCCCTCTGCCCCTTTCCCCGCTCATGTTCTCTCTCTCTCTCTGACATATAAATCTTTTTTTTTTTTTTTTAAAGATTTTATTTATTCATTTGACAGAGAGAGACCCAGCGGGAGAGGGAACACAAGCAGGGGGAGTGGGAGAGGGAGAAGCAGGCTTCCCGCCGAGCAGGGAGCCCGATGCGGGGCTCGATCCCAGGACCCCGGGATCATGACCTGAGCTGAAGGCAGACACTGAACTGACTGAGCCACCCAGGCGCCCCTAAATAAGTAAAATCTTAAAAAAAAAAAAAAGACATTTGAGAGTCTATTACTCTTGTTTATTTTTTAATAGAAATTAACATTTAAGTCTTTAAAATAGGACATGTTTATATATTTATCTTTGGGGTTAAAAGGAAGAGAACGCTCTTTTGGCTCTGTCTCTAGCCAGTTCTGCGATAAGAGGACTCACAGAGGAAGGGTAAACCTTTCACACTGATTTTCAGGAAGAAAGAGGTACACCGTTGGGGCGCTTGGGAGGCTCAGTCAGTTAAGCCTCCAACTCTGGATTTAGGCTCAGATCATGATCTCACGGTTGTGAGATAGAGCCCCACATCGGGCTCCATGCTGGACATAGAGTCTGCTCAAGATTCTCTCCCTCTGCCCCTCTCCCTGCTTACGTCCTCTCTCTCTCTTTGAGGGACATTGTGGTTGGAGAGTGATGAGCTAGAGATGTTGAGGGGTAGTTCGTCTCCTAGGTATGATATTCAGAGGGTTGTATGTGCAGTTGAATCACCAGGTTCCAAAGTCTGGTCCTTTTGTACTTCTAGGAACTGAGTTTTTGGCCGTACACCCTGAGATGATAAATGGCTCATGAAAGCCTATCTTATGTGAGAATGCAGTTTATGAATTCATAGTGAGAAATACAGCTGGATAGTTTTGTCAAGTAGCTGGCATATTTTTGTAATGGTAGGAATATTTAAGTTATATAGAAAAAAATTGTTAAGTGTAATTCAGGACAAAGTCAATTAGAAAATCTTAAAATGAAAAGAAGGTAGAGGCACTGTTTCCACAATTGTGGATTGAATTGCTGATCCCATTGAGATCCTAAAAAAATTGTTATCCTTTTTCCAAAAAGAAATTCATATACAAAGTTGTTTATTTCAGTGGGATTTATAAAACTCCCTGGAGTTTAGGCAGAGATCACAGGTTAAGAATCTCTGTCCCGTGGGGGTGCCTGGGTGGCTCAGTTATTAAGCATCTGCCTTCAGCTCGGGTCATGATCCCAGGGTCCTGGGATCGAGCCCCGCATCGGGCTCCCTGCTCCGCGGGAAGCCTGCTTCTCCCTCTCCCGCTCCCCCTGCTTGTGTTCCCTCTCTCGCTGTGTCTCTCTCTCTGTCAAATAAATAAATTAAAAAAATAAAAATAAAAAGAATCTCTGTCCTGTGGGGACAGATCTGCTAGGCTGAGTAAACATTTATGTAATTTGATTAAGGGTGCTTGCTTTCCCTTATTAGAGACACATTATCCTGTTGTATTTCTTTCTTCTTTCCTGGAAATACAGTTGACCTTTGAACAACATGGGTTTGAACTTCATGGATCCAATTATAAGCAGATGGTTTTTTTTTTTTTAAAGATTTTATTTATTTATTTGAGAGAGAGAATGAGACAGCACATCAGAGGGGATAGGGTCAGAGGGAGAAGCAGACTCCCCGTCGAGCAGGGAGCCTGATGCGGGACTCGATCCCGGGACTCCAGGATCATGACCTGAGCCGAAGGCAGTCGCCCAACCAACGGAGCCACCCGGGCGCCCTATAAGCAGATGGTTTTTAGATAAATACAGTACAGTACTATAAATGTAATTTCTCTTCCTAATGATTTTCTTTTCTCTATCTTTATTGTAAGAATACAGTGTATAATACATATAGCATACAACATACATGTTAATGTTGTTAATGTTATCATTAAGTCTTCTGGTCACCTGTCGGCTATTAGTAAAGTTTTTCGGGGAGTCCAAAGTTATATGTGGATTTTTGACTATGTGGGGAGTTAGCGCCCTTAACCCCCTCGTTGTTCAAGGGTCGTCTGTACACATAAGTCTTTTTGTTGCAACTCATGAATGGAATTTTAAAAAATGAGTAAACAGGAGAACCAGAACTATAAATATGGAAAACAAACTGAAGTTTGCTAGAGGGGAAGGCTCTGGGGGTGTTGGGCAAAATGGGTGAAGGGAAGAGGGAGACACAGGCCTCCAGGTCTGGCGTGAGTAGGTCGCAGGAATAAAAAGCATAAGGCCAGCAGTCAGGGGCTGTGATAGCCCTGTGAGGGGCACATGGCAGCTGCACAGCGTAGTGCGTGGACCTGTCGGATCGCGAACTTGCACACCTCAAGTGTCAAACTATACTCAAGCAAAAGACAAAGAGGAAAAACCTCTCAAACGTATAGGCTAACAATAAAACCCCTCTGAATCTTGGACTTCAAAAACAATTACCGAGATTAATTTGATGGCCTAGCTTGTGATCAGTCTTGGTGAAAATTCCACGTGTATTCGAAACGTGTGTATTCAGCTGTTAGGTGTAGTGTTCTATAAATGTCAGTTTGGGGAAGTTGATCAATAGTGTTAAGTCTTTTGTATTCTTACTGATTTTCTGTTTTCTTCTATCAATTACTATGAGAGCAGAATTAAAATCTCTAGCTGTAGTTGTAGAGGTTTGTCTATTTCTCCTTCAGTTTTGTGTTTTTGCCTGATGTATTTTGAAGCTTTTTTTTTTTAAAGATTTTATTTATTTATTTGAGAGAGAGAGAATGAGAGAGAGAGAGCACGAGAGGGAAGAGGGTCAGAGGGAGAAGCAGACTCCCCGCTGAGCAGGGAGCCCGATGTGGGACTCGATCCCGGGACTCCGGGATCATGACCTGAGCCGAAGGCAGTCGCTTAACCAACTGAGCCACCCAGGCGCCCCTGTATTTTGAAGCTTTATTAGGTATATACACATTTAGTACTATTATATCTTCTAGATGAACTAGCTGTCGTATTATTGTGAAATGTTTCTCTTGATCTCTCATAACATTTTTGTTTAAGGTCACTTTGTTTCATATTGATAAACTCTCTTCAGTTTTATTGTTTGTTTTTTTCACGGTATATCACTTTTTATTCCTTTAGTTTTAATTTTTCTATTTTGGTTTTGTTGAATGTATTTCTTGTAGACTGAATATTTGTGTCTTGCTTTTTTTTTTTTTTACCTAGTTTATCAATTTCTTCCTTTTTAATTAGAGGATTTTCTGTACTAGGTAATATGGTAGCCATGTGTTGCTTTTAAAAATTTAATTAAAATTCATTAAAGTTATATTAGGTTGAAAATTCATTTCTTCATTCTCACTAGCCAAATTTTTTAAGTGCTCAGTAATCACATCTGGCTAGGTTAGTGGCCCCTGTACTGGGCAGTGTAGGTATAAAAAAATTCTGTTAGATAGCAGTGGTTTAGATCATTTATGTTTAATGTAATTATGGATCTTCCTTGATTTTTGATTGGGTTATGTCCCAGTAAACCCATTGTAAGTTAAAAATACCATAAGTCAAAAATACATTTACTATACCTAACCTACTGATTATTATGGCTGAGTTTAGCCTACCTTAAACGTGCTCAGAATACTTGTAGTAGCCTACAGTTGGGCAAGATCCTCTAACACAAATACTGTTTCCTTAGCTCAGTGGGATTGTCATATTTAGCTTGAGTTTCCCTTCCTTGTGCCTTGGTCTGGGAGGTGCTTCAAGGCAAAAAGCTGTTGCATTCACCCCATTTGTTTCCCTTTTCAGGAATCACAGCCCTGTATTACTGAGATTCAATGTTGTGAGAACAGTTTCAAATATTTTCTATTATTACTTCTATTTCTATGTGTTTTTAGTCTGATGCCGTTTATTTTGTCATGGTCAGAAGCAGAAGTCCTTAAGTTCCTTTGATTTTTACTGGTAGCACTTGCTGTCTTCTAGATTTTTTCCTGATATGATTAGGGGTGTGGTTATTATGAAGGCTGCACATGAGAGGAAGAGTTCTGGGAGCTGTGTTAGGTCAGGAGGCACATTAAGCTTGATGGTGTATGAGTTCTTCAAGGTAAGGTGGAGGATTGAAACTAAAATCAGCAAAAAGAGTGAGGTCATAGCATATTTGGGAGGAGGAACAGCAATTGTGCGAAAGTATTGAGGTGATCGTACAGTGGTGAAAGTGAGAAACAAAATTAGTAGAAAGGGAATGAAGGCAGGCAAGTTCCACAGAATTGTCCAGGTTTCACTGTTCTGTGAATGAATGATAAGAATACTATGTATCACTGGGGTTTCTTTCATTCAGTGCCTGGTATTTGAAATGCTTGAATGCCGGCCGCTAATTGAAGTTTCTGACGAGGGCTGTTGGAAGAGCAGAGAAAGAGGGTGTAATTAATTTTAGTCCACCTACTGCCTGTCAGCTTGTCCTCAGACTCTGGTGCAGACACAGCGCATATCAAAATAGAAGCTTATTTCAGGCCTTTGGGGACTCATTCTCTAGTTAGGTAAATAGATACATAATTTCAGTATGTAATCTCAGGATGCCAAGGCAGAACAGTATAGTCATTGGTTGAACAAGATAGTTAACTTTTCTCTCCTATGGAAGAAATCAGGTAGGCAGTCTGGGACTAGTGTGGTCTTCTGGGACTAAGGCTTCTACTGTTTTGCTGCTCCCTCAGCATTACAGCCTTACCTCTTAGTCTAGATGACAAGACAGAGGATGCCCTCTCTTTCATAATTTGACTTTCAGAAAGTCCCACATAATACCTTTATATCCATGTCATTGGACACTTGATCATAAGTCTTCACTTTCCAGCAAGGGAGGCACATTATGTCTCCAAATAATACAGGGTTCTTTTGGCAAGAAAGAAGAGGAGCTTTGTGACAGAGAGCGGTAGAAGAGGTCACATGTGTTCTCTTTATATTACTCCCAGGTGTATTTAGGGTGGGGGTTGGAAAAAAGAAGGGGAGCAGGAAAGACTGGAGTCCAGGAAACTAATTTGGTTATTCCAGTTGTCTAGGTGAGAGATAAGAGGATGTGATCTAGGATACCTTAAGGGAAGGGACACGTATTAGTTGGGGCTCTGCGTTGCAGGTAATAGATTAAACTTAAATTGGCTTATTCAGAAAAAAGGGGCAATTTATTATTAGAGTACAAAAGTCTCCTAGGACATGTAGGTATGGGAATGCAGCTGAGTTTCAGGAATGGCTGGAATTAAAGTTGTGAATGCTTTTATGAATCATCTTGCCATTTTCCATGTTTGTTTTTCTCTGAGTTCAATTTTTTTCTTGGTAACAGATCAGTTTTTTTGCTGAATTCTAATCCTCATGACAAAAATAGCTTCTGCCAGTGCATTTCCATTTCTCTTTAGTTTTAGAGCAGCACCATTTAGTCTTGATTTCAAATTCCTGGAGAGTAGCTCAGATTGGTATGAATTGGGTCAGATACCTACCTTTGAACGAATCAGCTGTGGCCAGGGATGGAAGTGTTCTCCCATGGTAGGCATGTGGTGTTCACTCTGTGATGTATTTGAGAAATACTTTGGAAATGAAAATAGTAGGTTTAGATGGGCGGGGTAAGTTGATCCTGAGATTGTTGACTTGGATAAGTGGGTGGTTGCTGGTACCATGCATGTCATTGAATTCAGTAATAGAGAAGGACGAACAGGTTTTATGGAAGAGATGATGGGTTAATTTTTTGTTCTTAGTGAGTTCAGCATGGCATCCAAATATAATAGGTAGTTGGTTAAATCACTGAAACTTTGGGTAGACAAATTTGAAAGATACCAGCACAACTGGTGGTAGCTCGAGGCATGAGAGTGGATTTAATGGCCAAAGGGGAATGTTTAGAGATTAAAAAATGCAGTGGGCAAAGAATGGAACCCCAAACAACATTGATATTTCAGAGCTGAGCACAGGAGGAAAAGTGCATGAGGGAAATGGAGAAGAAGCCAAGAATTGTAGGAGAACTAGGAAAGGTCCTGGAGGTAGAGAAGGTGAGTTATCCAGAGTTATATTCAGCAGAGGTCTAGGGAGATAAAGACAGAAACATTCTGCTGCATTGGGCAAAGTAGAAACCAGTGGTGACCTTTGAAAAAGTTTTGTAGGTTAGTGGGGACATTAGCTATATGATAGAGTTTGAGGATTGGGTGACAGTGAGAGGGGATAGACTGCTGTTTTACGAATTTGGCTTAGAGTACAAGTTGGAAGATAAATGGCTGCTGGAGGGAGACATAAGGGCAGTTAGGGTTTCCCTTCTTCCCTCATTCTCTCTCTCTCTCTCTCTCACACACACACACACACACACACACACACACACACACACACACACAGGATGAGGAATACTTGAGCATATTTCTAGGCCAGTAGAGAGCTTCGGTTGAAGCTACAAGAGAAGGAGACAATTGATGGTGCATGGTCCTAGAGGAACAGGAGTGGTTGGGGCCAAGGTCTGTGGGGGAGGACCTGCCTTGAAGAGGAGGAGTTAACAGGACATAAGGATAGGCACAGACATCAACAGTTTTGTTGGAGGTTGGGAGGAAGCTAAAGTGGCTTCATTTTTATTGATCGAGAAGGAGGAGAGATCCATTTGCTGACCGTGTGGGGAATGGGAGTTGGTAGAAAACTTGAGGGAGTTGTGTAAGAAGATGATGAGCATCACCTCTCTGCCAAGGTACTAAGCAGGGTCTTGGGGATACAAAGTAGGCAAGAGCATAGGTGGTTGCTTTCTCATAGAACTTACTACGAGACATTAATCAGATAGTTACACAAGTAAATGTAAAACTGATAAATGCTTCAAAGGGGAGTAAGCCAAGGGAGTGGAAGAGAGAGCTGACCAGGGACCAGTAAGAGGAATACTAGTTATAACTGAGAGTTTAGCTCAACTGAAGTTGTAAAGGTCATGATGATTTGGGTTTATGCAGGGGTGGAGATGGTTTGCAGCTGTGGTGGTGAAGCAGCTGATGACCCTGATCAGTGACTTTCAAGTGATGGGTTAACATCTCAGAGGATAGAGAAAACCTGTAGTTTCAGAAGAACGCCTTCGAGGGGTGCCTGACTGGCTCATTCAGGAGAGCATGTGACTCTTGATCTTGTGGTTTTAAGTTCAAGTCCCACGTTGGGTGTAGAGACTACTTAAAAAAAAAATTTAAAAAAAAAAAAAAGGCCTTCACCAGAATCCTGTGGAACACTAACGTAAACTCTTTTTTTTTTTTTTTAGCATGATCTTAGCAAATTGGCACTCCCTCAAGGAATGTGTTAACTTTTCAGATTATAGACTCCCTTTTTAGTGGATAACACCAAGTGGTAGGAACCAAGTCTTCAAACTGATTTTTTAAAAAAGTTGTTATTTAAAGTCCATTTAGCACATAGTGTTATGTTAGTTTGAGGGGTACAATATAGTGATTCAACACTTCCATACATCACCCTGTGTTCATCATGACTTGCAGTCTTTTCAAAATTGATTTGACAATGTAAGTATGAGTAGGCCAGAAGCATATTTATCGTGATTATCTTAAAAATTACAACTATATATGTAATTAGCTAGTTCTAATGTTTCTATAACTACAAATCAAAGCCTGAATGAATGAATGAATAAATGAATGAAGAAAGTCTGCTCTGCATTGGGAGACAGTTGGCACTTGAGGTGCCAAAGCACAAATGTGTTTACTCCACGTGGATTATACCTTTTACCGGACATATTGTTGTTCTCCAGTTAGGTAATTATCAAGAACTTTGTGGAATGAAGGAATATTGTTCTCAGTCAGGAAATCCTCTTTTTCTTCCCTTGGCCTCCAGGTTTCTCTGCTGTGCATTAGCCAGTGTTGTGTGATAGGTGATTTCTAGGATCTTTCCTACACTTTCATTGTACAGCTCCAAAGAGTAGATGGTAGAGCCAGAAAGATCTAGATTTCTATTCTGGTTCTCCTACTTGGATACCATGTAACTTGGGCAAGTTACCTAATTTTGGGAAGCCTTTCTTATCTCTAAGACCAAATAGTATTTTATGTAGGGTAGTTTTAAGGAGTCAGCTTGAGAATATATGCGAAAGTACTTATTACAGTACTTAACATAGAAGGAGTTGATTGATGTATTTGTGGAAAACAGAACCCAGAACTTGGCATAATGCTGAGCACATAGGGGATGTTGGCTAAATACTTCGTAGCTGATTTAATAATCTGGTATTTAAACACAGTAACAAAGTGCTTTACCAGCCTGGCTGTCAACTGAGATCTATGCATTTTTAGACCCAGGGAAATTTAAAAATTTGAAACTTAGAGGCAAAGTCATTTACTTGAGTGTTGTTTCCTTTGTCCTAGTTAAACAAAGATGTCAGTATTGCTTAATGTTGGTAGGAACCGAAGCTCTGTGTTGAAGTGAGTTCTCTGCTGTCAGTTCTAATCTTTTGTTTTCGCTTTCCCTCGGCATGACAACAGTCATGGTGTTTCATGGGCTTATCCCAAAAGAGTGGGTTTACATGTTCTTTGTTTAAATTTTCATTGTAGCTTTTTAAAGGGGAAACCTACTCTAAGGATTTTTTTTAGGGAACCGAGTTCACCATTTAACAGCACAGAATTTTTATATGCAAGTCTGCAAGTTTGAGAATTTCACTTATATGCCAAATATTCTTAGAGCTCTGAAGACGAGTGGGTTGAGGCTGTCCCATCGCAGATCCCTGGCAGAGAAAAGGCCTGGAAAGTGAAAGGTGAAAATTCAGAAAGAGAAGACAACCCAGTTATTCAGGTAAGTCACCTGATTTTAAAGAAAGAAGTGTGAACAGCTAAGCATAGATGAATGTTAGAATGACAGATGGTTAAAATTGCTTCAGGAGAAAAATTAGACTTTGAAAACAGTATATACTTTTATGAATAATTTTGGCAGCGATGCTGTTTGCTTAGTCTTTGTACTTCCGTTCTTCTTCTGTGAGAAAGGGAGTACTGACCTCTATTCTGGTTCCACAGAGGGTTTCCTCCCATTAGTTGTGGCTAGAAAAGCGTCACTTTCCTCTCCTGTACTGAAGCTCTGTACTGTTACCTGTATCTGAGTGAGTAGAGTTTGGCCACTTTTTATTTCCCTTCACTGCATCATGTCATAATTTCGGTTAGCGATACTTAAGAGTAGAAGAGTTCACAGATTTGGGGCTGTTGTTCATTTGCTGCTGTGGGAATACGGTTTATATGCTGTTAGCTGCGGCGCAGAAAGGTGGAAGGGACTGGTGTTCGAGTGCCTGTTCCATGTCAGACTGTGCTCCTTAATTCTGTTCTCTGGTTGACTCCTGAAAGCAATCCTAAAAGGTATGACTTTTATTCCGTTTTACAAGGGAGAGACTAAGGCATCGAGAGAATAAAAAACTTGCTTCAGGGTGGGCAGCTGTAGGATTTGAGCTGGGTTTGCGTGCCTTCAGAGACCCTGCTGTTATTACCAAGTGTTTATTGTTCACTTCTAATCAATTTAGATTGAAATAACTTTTTTTTTTTAAACAGAGAGATGAGTGGATGACGGTTGATTTTATGTCTGTTAAAACTGTGTCCTTATCATCACTCAAAGCCGGTAAGGAGGCTATGAGGAAAACAGAGCAAGAGAAAACCCAAGCCCTGGAACAGGTAAGAGTATTGAAAATGCTTTAACTTCCAATTTGTCTTTAATAAGCAATGAGATATTTATATAAATGCAGTTTTACTTGTGAAATATTATATTCTCTTTTGTGGTATTTAATAACAGTGGGGATAACTATGAAATGTGGCAGAAGTTCTTAAAGATGAATCTCCTGTAGGAAGCCAATTTAATGCTATACTAGATTGATAAATCCAGGGCATATATAGTTGGAAATATTGAGTTTGTTTCACAGCTCGGATTCAGAAGAGTTTCGGGCTTGAACTGTGCTGCCTGTGTGGTCTGAAACTCTTCAAGGTGAGACTTTATTTGAAAGTATACTCGTGTTGATAGGGCTTTGAAGTGCTTGGCAGGAGTGAATGCCAGTGCTTTGTGGAGGATCACACTGTCAGTTTAGGCATCACAGGTTTTCCAGAAGAAAGCTTATAATCTAGAATCACAAAATACATGAAAATACAAGGATAGTTCATAAATGGCAGTCATCTGAAATAATGAACAGTAGAATCAGACCCATAAAACCTTTATCTGTTGGAGTATTTAATAGCTTTATACAGTATGGAAAATGTAAGAAATAAAATATTTTTATGAAGGCAGATCTGGGAAAGAGCCAACAAGAACTTGTAGAAATAAAAAATACCACAATTGGAATTAGAATTAGAAACTCAGGAAATGAGTAAACAACAGATTGAATATAGCTGAAGAGAGAATTAGTGAACAAGAAGATCGTCTTTAAGAGTTTACCTTGAGGGTGCCTGGGTGGCTCAGTTGGTTAAGTGACTGCCTTCGGCTCAGGTCATGATCCTGGAGTCCCGGGATCGAGTCCCACATCGGGTTCCCTGCTCAGCAGGGAGTCTGCTTCTGCCTCTGACCCTCCCCCCTCTCATGTGCTCTCTCTCTCTCTCATTCTCGCTCTCTCAAATAAATAAATAAAATCTTTAAAAAAAAAAAAAAAGAGTTTACCTTGAACACACCATAGAGGGACAAATAAATCAAAAAGGTGAGAATGATCCTAAGTCCTGTGAGCAATGTTGTTTTCTGTCTGCCCTCCCCCCCTAATTTTAATTCTGAAAATGCTGGTGTGGTACATGGTATTGGCTTATTAAGTAAGCAGCTATTCATATGGAACATTTGGAGGGCAGGGATTTTGGTAGCATCTTGACTAAGCTCTGGAACGTATCTTTGTCTCTGACACCTGACGGAGTTGGAGTCATTGTGTTCAGAGAGGAGAGGGAGAGTACATGTAGCACCAGGGGGATGACCAGTGTGCATGGAGTTGCGTGAGGTCTGGAGGTTGGGATTACCCAGGCCATGACAAGCTTACTTCTGAAATCCTGCTCTGCTATTGTTGGTCATTGATGTGTTGGCGTGTTAGGGTTACCTGGCTTGTGGTCTTATGTTTTGTTCATATCCTGTTTAGGCCTGTTCTCCATATCAAACTATAGAACATAGTAAACCCTTGAATATTTTTAGCAAATTGAAGTAGTGATCAGTTATTCTTAGAAATATGATTACATAAAACCATCTTCATTTTCCTAAGAAATGGTAATAATTTTTTCTTATCTTACCACCTGTCCAGCTTTGAATTCCAGGCTTTCTAATTAACATAATCTTTTCTTACAAACACTTATATGAACTTGTCTGATTCATTCGAGCCAGCATCCATGCATCTGCTCAGTTGCTTCTGGAGTTTTTGTCTTTTGCATGTGTATCATCTTTTTCATTCCTGCTGGAGTGCCCCTTATTAGTTGTGTGTCTTCTCCTCTGTGTGCTTCACTTGTCTCATCTGTACTGGAATGGAGTTCGTGTGTGTGATGAAGTGGGGACGGCCCCTGGAACGGGTTCAGGCCCTGATTTACTCTTGCGTGGGCAATTTCAGTAAGGTCTTCATTTCTCACCCAGCATCCTGCGATGGGATGTCAGGTTAATCTTTACAAAGTCCAGCTCTGATCATAGTCCTCGTGATTCAAGGGAAGGGGAATGTCTTAACCATTTCTAATGTTTCTGGTGGAAGAAGCTCAACTAGTGGTATTTTGTGCCACCCTCTTTCCTCATTCTGTCCTTGAGGATATGGAGTAAATTTTCTTGTGGAAAATTGGGAAAGAATGCACTGGGCAGACTTGGCTTAGCCCTGCGCTTCCTGCTTATGGACCAGGCTGCCTGCAGAGCCCATGTGCGGAGTCAGGGGAGGTGGGGCTGCCTTGGTGCTGACTACACCTGGGGAAGTCTGCCTCATTGTGCCGTTCAGTTAATAGGCCCATTTGGGTTTTATTTATTTATTTATTTATTTTAAAGATTTTATTTATTTATTTGAGAGAGAGAGAATGAGAGATAGAGAGCACGAGAGGGAAGAGGGTCAGAGG